AAAAAGCATGAGCAAAAGAAAAGAGAATAAATTGTACTTCAAAATTTAAACTTTGGTTCATCAAAGGCCACTGTTACAAAAGTGAGAAGATAATTCAAGAGATTAGAAACAAGCCACATACTGAGAGACTAGAGCACAGAATTTTTAGGGTAGTGAAAGCTATTTTATATGATACTATAATGATGGATACATAATAATATACAACAAGCCCATAGAATGTACAGCACCAAGAGTGAACTCTAATGTAAATTACTGACTTAGGATGATGATGACATATCAATGTGCAGTCATCAATTGTGACAAATGTGCCAGTCTGGTGTGAGATGTTGATAGTAAGGGCAAAGGTTATATGAGAATTCTCTCTACTGTTCTCTCAGTTGCTATGAGTCTCCCCCCCAAAAAAATAAGCTTATAAAAAAGAGTTCATTTGAAAGAAAGGATAATTGATAATTCACTATAGAAAATATTTTCCAGGGCCTCCCCGGTGGCGCAGCGGTTGAGCGCTGGGTTGCGAAGCTGCCCGCAGCCTCTGCTACGCCGGTTCGATCCCCGGCTGCTCCCCGGCCACCAGAGGAGTGTCCCACATGGCGCGCAGACCTCTCCTGCCGCCCGCTGCTCCCCTCAGCAGTGTCCTTCGGTCCTTCTGCCTGCTCTGCTCCCCGCTCTGGCTCTGGTGAATTCTCTCACCCTCCCGCGCTTCTGACTGTACCCAGTGCTTGTATAAATAAATAAATAAATCTTTAAAAAAAAAATATTTTCCAATCATATATCTGATTAGAATAGTAGCCACAATATATAAAGAACTCTTGACAACTCAACAACAAAGATAAAAATCCAGTTTTTCCAATGAGGCAAAGAATTTGTATAGACATGCCCCCAAGGAAAAGAAACAAATGGCAAAAAAAAAAAGAAGGAAAATGCTCAGTATCACTAATCATTCAGGAACTGCAAACCAGAACCACAGTCTGATTCTACCATTAAGATTACTATAATTTTTTTGAAATAATGAAAAATAAGGGTGCCTCCCTGGTGGCCTAAGGGTTAGGTCTCAGCACTATCACTGCGATGGCCCAAGTTCGTTCCCCAGCCGGGGAGGTACCCACATGGTACAATAAACCTCATCTGTCTCAGCTGCTTCTCCCCTCAGCAGTGTATTTCAGTAGATCCGCCTGTTCTGCTTCCCACTCTGTCTCTGGTGAATCCTCTCACACACTCTCCCTGCCCCTGTAGCTTTGGCCTACATCTAGTTCTTATATGCATAAATAATCTTTTTAAAAAATGAAAAGAACGAGAAAATAACAAGATTTGCTGCAGTCAAGAATGTAGAGAAATTGGACGACTCATACATTGCCACATTGCTTGTGGGAAGGTAAAATGGCATAGCCACTGTGAAAAATAGTTTGACAGTTCCTCAAAAAAAAAAAAAAAAGTTATCATTGACCTACTAGTTTTATGTCTAGGTATAACTCAAAGGAATTGAAAGTGTTCATATAAAGTCCTGTATGTGAAAGTTCATAGCAGCATTACTCATAATAGCTAAAAAGTGGAAGTAATCCAAGTGCTCGCTGAGGACTAAGACAAAATATATCCGAATGTTGATTTCAGCCGTAAAAAGGAGTGTTGTGCTGCACTGTGAATGAGCCATGAAAACAGTATGCCAGGTGAAAGGAGAAGGATCTGAAAGGGCACGTACTGTGCAGATCCTTTTATGTGAAATGTCCAAGATGGGCCAAACCATAGAATCAAAAAGATTAGTGGTTGTTAGATCCTTGGTAGGGGAGGGTGGAAGTGATGTCTGATTGCTACAAGCTTTCTTGTGGGGAGGGAGGTGTTAATGCATATGTTCTGGAATTATGTCAAGGTGACTGATAAATAACCTGTGACTATACTAAAACCACTGAATTGTGTGTGTGTGTGTGTGTGTGTTTTTTAAAGATTTATTTATTTATACAAGCTCTGGGTACAGTCAGAAGCATGGGAGGGTGAGAGAGTTCACCAGAGCCAGAGCGGGGAACAGAACAGGCAGACTGACAAAATACACTGTTGAGGGGAGCAGCAGCAGGCGGCAGGAGAAGTCTACGCGCCATGTGGGACCCTCGCCCGGCAGCCAGGGATTGAACCGGCGCTGCAGAGGCTGCGGGCAGCTTCGCAACCCAGCACTCAACCGCTGTGCTACAGGGGAGGCCCTGTGTGCTTTATTTTTTGTAAAGATTTATTTATGCATATGTTTATGCATACGAGAACTGGGGTACAGGCCAGAGGTGTGGGGGATGAGAGGATTCACCATAGACAGAGTAGGGAGCAGAACAGGCAGACTGACTGAAGTACACTTCTGAGGGGAGTATTGGGCGAGACAGGAAAGGTCTGTTGTGCCATGTGAGCAGCTCCTTGGCTGGCCTGGGATCAAACTCCTGCTGCAGAAGCCGCAGATAGCTTCACAGTTCTGTGCTTAACCCTTTGCGCCACCAGGAACAAGGCCTGCACAGGACATTCCAGGGACTGGGACATGACTCCAGGGTACTAGAATAGTACGAACCATGTTTTTGAATAGTCTCAGAATGCTTCTTACTGGGATACCCCCCGCCCCGTGGTACAAGGGGTTAAGCACAGCACTGTGCAGCTGTCCGTGGCCTCTGCAGCATGAGTTTGATCCCTGGCTAGGGAGCTACCCACATGGTGCAGCAGACCTCTCCTGTTTTGCCCACTGCTCCCCTCAGCAGTGTATTTTAGTCAGTCTGCCTGTTCTGTTGCCCACTCTGTCTCTGGTGAATCCTCTCACCCCCCTCCCCTGCACCTCTGGCCTGTACCCCAGTTCTTGTATGCATAAATAAATAAATCTTTAAATAAATTAATTGATTAATAAATTGATGAGTGCTAGTAGATGGATAAAGGAGTAATGACAGACTGTCACCCTGTACAACCCCAGAGGAATAAGCTAATCAGTGTTCATCGGTGCCTGCTAGTATTGCAAGGTAACATTGAATATCATGTTCCCTGTGATGGAAGGTCTTCCTTTCTAAATGTCTTCCTATGGGAAAGAAAGAACACCCAAATCTGATCATGCCTATATATTTGCCAGTCTATAGCAAATGCCTATGGTATTTCCCATGTGTTTGGTTCAGAGGAACATAGTAAATGCTGCCATAGTAATCTAATCAAGAAAATCTAAAAAAAAAAGAAAAGAAAAAATCTAAACTGGGAAAGTAATAGGCAAATAACCTGGTTTCTTTACCAAAATAAAACAAAAAATAGCGAAATAAAAAAGACCAAGTAAAACACTTTTTTTAATCATTGTACTATATTGGTTTTGTTTTGCTTTTTTTTTTTTTTTTTAAATAGAGGCATGTTTTATTTATTTATTTATTTGTTTGTTTGTTTGGTTTATACATGCACTGGGTACAGTCAGAAGCGCGGGAGGGTGAGAGAATTCACCAGAGCCAGAGCGGGGAGCAGAGCAGGCAGAAGGACCGAAGTACACTGCTGAGGGGAGCAGCGGGCGGCAGGAGAGGTCTGCGCGCCATGTGGGACCCTCCTCCGATGGCCGGGGAGCAGCCGGGGATCGAACCGGCGCCGCAGAGGCCGCGGGCAGCTTCGCAACCCAGCGCTCAACCGCTGCGCCACCGGGGAGGCCCTGTTTTGCTTTTTAAATTTACTTTCTTACATTGTTCATTTTTATACAGTCAAAATGGAACACTATCAACATAAGTCATGTTGATACTGACAAGTTAGAAGTTACAGAGACTTTGTGTTATATGGGAGAAAGGTCAAAGTATTTTTTTTTAATTTAACTTAATTTTATTTTTTTTAAAGATTTATTTATTTATACAAGCACTGGGTACAGTCAGAAGCTCGGGAGGGTGAGAGAATTCACCAGAGCCAGAGCAGGGAGCAGAGCAGGCAGACTGACAAAATACACTGCTGAGGGGAGCAGCGGGCGGCAGGAGAGGTTTGCGCGCGCCATGTGGGACCCTCACCGGTGGCCAGGGATCGAGCTGGCGCTGCAGAGGCTGTGGGCAGCTTCACAGCCCAGCGCTCAATGGCTGCGCCTCCAGAGGAGGCCCGAAAGGTCAAAGTATTGATACACTTCAGTTTTTAAGTTAAATATGCTCACTAAAATTTTACCACTAAAAAGTGTTTAATCTCCAAGCCAAGAGAGGAGGATGAGAGAGAACGACAGCAATTATGAAAAAGAAAAGAAATAATTGAAAAGGTGGAACCAAAAAAAGCCATAAAATAAGATAACATGTAAATATAATTATATCATTCCTACTAAATATAAATAGATTGTATTTTATATATTCGAAGATGGCAGCTTAGAAAAGAATATCCTTGTGCTTTGTTCACATGGGACTCATCTAAAACTTACAGAGAGATTGAAAGTGGTAGAATGGGGCCTCCCCTGGTGGCGCAGTGGTTGAGCACTGGGCTTGAAGCTGCCCACAGCCTCTGCAGCGCCAGCTCGATCCCTGGCCACCGGTGAGGGTCCACATGGCGCGCGCAAACCTCTCCTGCCGCCCGCTGCTCCCCTCAGCAGTGTATTTTGTCAGTCTGCCTGTTCTGCTCCCTGCTGTGGCTCTGGTGAATTCTCTCACCCTCCCGCATTTCTGACTGTACCCAGTGCTTGTATAAATAAAAAAAGAAAGAAAGAAAGAAAAGGTGGTAGAATGGGAAGCGTAGAGTTAGGAAGCAAATTTTTTAAGATTTTAAAATTTTACTTTGCATAGAAGAACTAGGGTGTAGGCAAGAGGTGAGAGGTGAGAGGATTCACAAGAGACAAAGTGGGGAGCAGAACAGGCGGATCTACTGAAATACACTGCTGAGGGGAGCAGCAGACAAGACAGGAGAGGTCTGCTGAGCCATGTGGGTCAGTTCCCTGGCCGGGGATCAAACTCAGGCTGTAGCAGTGACAGCAATGAGACTTAACCTGTAGGCCACCAGGGAGGCCAAGGAACCAGTCTTATCTCAGTATACCATGAAGAATATATTTTTTTCTCTTTCAGGTTGAAGAAAAAGGAGTTTAGTTTAGAAGAAATATATACCAACAAGAATTATAAGTCTCCTCCTGCAAACAGGTAGGTACAACAGGTGCAAGTCTCCAATCCTTTCACTTCAGAAAGGGTTTTTTGTCCAGTTCTGATATGTTTAATTCATAATACTTTCCTTGGGGTCAATGCTAGGATGGAAAAGAAATGTGGTTGGGTTGGTGTTTCTGCCAGATGTGCTGATTTCTTCTTCAGGACTAATTTGATCTTCAAGTCTGATTCCAAACCCAGTACAGAAGTTTCACTCGACTACCTTTGGGTCTAAGTTCAAAGTCTTTGAACATTTATTAAATGCCTGTTGTCTAGGGCATAGTAGAAGAGCTCTAGGATTTCATCCTGCATGTGCTTTGAGACATTTGTGCAAGACTATTCGATGCAACATTACCAGATAATAGGAAAGGATTGAAAAGAAAACATTTATTAAAAGGGCTCTGATTAAGCTATGATCCAGCCTTATAATGAAATACATAATATAGTCGTTAAAAAGAATTAATCAGATACCTGTGTATGAAAGTGAAATGATCTTAAAAATGATTGATAGGGCAAAGAGATACAGTGCATAAGGTGGTGTGCATAGTTCACTACTCTTTGAGTGTGGGATAAATACCAAAATGGATGGTATATTCCATGGGCGGCACAGTACAAGCTACTTCCACCCAGCCGCCTATTTTCTACTTAATCTTTTATTTGGGGAGAGTTACTACTTTATTTTCTGATTTTTTTTTTTAACCTAGTTCATCCTTTCTCCCCCATGTTCTTAACCCTAGAAGTCTCACTAGTATTCACTCTTTTTTATAAGTATTTTACCATGTTGAAACATCTGCTATGTAAATGTGCAACATTTGTCATTCTGACTTGCATTACTATATATAATTCCTTCAAACTCCTTCCATTTTGCTGTAAATGGCAACATTCTGTATTTTCTTATGACTTTCTTTTTAATGACCTGTGAGCTAAGAACAGTTTCTATATTTACTTTTTTTTTTTTTTTTTTTGAGATTTATTTATTTATTTATACAAGCACTGGGTACAGTCAGAAGCGCAGGAGGGTGAGAGAATTCACCAGAGCCAGAGGGGAGAGCAGAGCAGGCAGACTGACGAAGTACACTGCTGAGGGGAGCAGCGGGCATGGCAGGAGAGGTCTGCGCGCCATGTGGGACTCTCGCTGGTGGCCAGGGATCAAACCAGCGCTGCAGAGGCTGCGGGCAGCTTCGCAACCCAGCGCTTAACTGCTGCTCCACCGGGGAGGCCCTATATTTACTTTTAGGTGTTTTTTTTTTTTTAAAGATTTATTTATTTATGCATACAAGAACTGGGGTACAGGCCAGAGGTGTGGGGGATGAGAGGATTCACTAGAGACAGAGTAAGGAACAGAAATAGGCATATTGACTGAAGTACATTGTGAGGCGAGCAGTGGACAAGTCAGGAGAGGACTGTTGGCGCCATGTGGGTTGCTCCCTGGAGGGCTGGGGGATCGAACTGGTGCTGCAGAGGCTGCAGACAGCTTCATAGGTTGCATCTTAACCCCTTGTGCCACCAGGGAGGCCCCACTCTCTGGCCCTTCCCAGAAAAGAACCAGGCCCTCATAATGCTTGCTTTTTTGTGCATGTCGTGTATTGAATGAACTTTGAGAGGGTACACATGAAGGACTTGCTGGCATTGGTCTTACTTTTATTCCTTTTCTATATAGTCACAGTTTTTTCACTTTATGCTTATAGTGCATATTCATATATAACACACAAACACACACTTTTTTCATATTAAAAAGTAGATACTAGGGTCCTCCCTGGTGGCGTAAGGCATTAAGACACAATCTGTGGGTCTCCCTGGTGGCACAGGTGGTTGAGCACTGCACTGTGAAGCTGTCCGTAGCCTCTGCAGCGCGGGTTCGATCCCAGCTGGCTGGCAAGAATCCCACATGGCGAAGCAGACCTTTCCTGTCTCACCTGCTGCTCCCCTCAGCAGTGTATTTCTTCAGTCTGCCTGTTCCGTTCCCCGCTCTGTCTCCAGTGAATCCTCTCATCCTCCCGCGCATCTGGCCTATACCCCGGTTCTTGTACAAAAATAAATAAATCTTTAAAAAAAAAAAAAAAAGACACAATCTATGAAGCTATCCGCAGCCACTGCAGTACAAGTTCAATCCCCGGGGCCAGGGAGCTACCCACATGGTGCAGCAGACCTCTCCTGACTTGCCCGCTGCTCCTCTCAGCAGTGTATTTCAGTTGATCTGCCTGTTCTATTGCCCGCTCTGTCTCTGGTGAATCCTCTCACCACCACCCCTCCCCCCCCCCACCTCCCACATCTCTGGCCTTTACCCCAGTTCTTGTATGCATAAATAAATAAATCTTTTTTAAAAAAAAAATAGACACTAGCCAGCAGAAATAATAGAGAAAGGAGGGGTTAGTGCAGGAAGCTTTTAGTCGCCTTTGACCAGAGGCTTGGTGACCTGGGAGAGTTGGTGATTCTGTTTTGTGCTCTACCTTAGGTGTTTAGAGACCATCTTTGAGGAACCTAAGGAGCGAAATGGTACACTGATTTCAATCAGCCAACAAAAGAGAAAACGAGTTCTAGAATTTCAAGATTTTACAGTCCCACGAAAGAGGAGGGCTCGAGGTAAGGTCAAGGTGGCAGGCAGCTTTACCAGGGCCCAGAAGGCAGCGCTGCAGAGTCGAGAACTGGATGCTCTTTTGATACAGAAACTAATGGAACTGGAGACCTTCTTTGCCAAGGAAGAAGAGCAGGAGTGATCATCTGGTTACAAAGAAACAGTTTGGTTTGGGGGGGTCTCAATTTTAGTTTTTCTGGTCCTCTTTGGAAGAGGTTGCCTAGTTTTACCCCACCACCCAAGTCACTCAAATTATAGTCCATGGATTTTTACCTATTTCAAGGTGCAACCTTTTAAGGAACTGGTAAAGGAGGGTCTTCTTCTGCTGAGTATAGAACCTCAGGAATGCTCCCTTTCTCCTGGAAATGGTCCTGAATGACATCTGGCCACCTCCTCCCACTTTGCCATCCACAGGAGGAAGATGCAGCATACCTTCAGTAACACTAGGATTCCAAGGACTCACAGCATTTGCACGTCCCTGTGAAAGTTCCGCGTTGTTTACGGTGGTGCTAGACCAAGATTATTTAGATAGAGACGTGGCCTAGGGAAGGGGACCTGGCGTCCTGTCCTGTGGTGTTTTCTAATCCTTCGTGAGTCTGCCCAGAACTGGTTGTGTGTGTGCGTGTGTATGTGTGTGTGTGTGTGTGTGTCTTCTTCCCATCATTTCCTCCCCTTTGTGACTGTGGGTCACTAGTGCCAGAGGAGCCCATCCAGGCCCCATTCGAAGTAAGTTGCACTTTTTAATGTTGTGATGTTGATTATTTTCATTTGTTTTATTTCTTTTTTTTTTTTTTTTTTTTTGTATTACTGCTGCATGTTTGGAGCCTTTAAATGTGATTTTAAAACAATTTTTTTTTTTTTAAGATATCAAGGAGAAAGATAATATCTGTCTTAAGAATATATGATAGGCATTTGACCCGGTTTATCGGTGCATGGTATGGGACAATGAAAGAGACATTCTCCCATTCACATGATTCAGTCTCCTTCCCATCTCCAACTTTTAGTGTAATGCCATAGAGGGAGCACTTTTTCTACCTGGGTTCTCATTTTTGCTCACTAAGTACATGTGTTTGTTGTAATGACAGATGTAAGAGCAGTTTGCTCTCCCAATCATTTAAAAAATATATAAAGGTTGGGTAAGGTCTTAATGGATTTTATCTGAAATGGTGGTCAATTACTAAATTGGTTACAACAGCTCGAGTAATTATAAAGTCCAGCCCAGGGTGCTGCAGCTGTCAGAGTGACCTGCTCTGTGAGTGGAGAGAGGACACGCCTTGGTTGAAACCCAGTGAGGCATTCTTGTGGTGGATCATGAAATATCCACGGCCAGCCTTCTCTAAGGGCACCGAGTTGTACTCTGGGCTCCTGTGTCGAATCTGCTGGAAACTTTGTAGAATGCCGGAGTTAGCTGAGTTTCTTCATTTATCCCTACAGGAGTTTGTGGGCAGAAGGATGCCGTGTGGGCCAGCAGGCCCAGAGGTTTCATTCCTTTCCCACTTAACCCCTGTGTGTTCTCGCCTGCTTCCCCTCCTCTCCTTCCCTATGTTTTATCTTTCTCTCTCTCTCGAAACAAGAGTTCAGAGAATTAACATTCCTTGGCTGGTGAGTAGAATACTAAACCCAGCTTCAGGACATGGCCACCTCCTCCCAGCCTCCTAGGAGCCACTGCTGTGAAGCAGCCACCGATGGGAACTGTCAAAGCTCCAGAGACATTTTCAAGTCATTCTGTTAGAGAAGAGTGAGTGGTGCTGTCCTGGAATGTGTCTCCTTGGTTCTTTTGTTTCCCCATTTGTTAGTGGGTGGGAAGATGGGGTGGGGTGGGGAGTCTCTATGTGCCTTTCCTTTGCAGGTTGACAGTCTATGCCACACTGGAGCAGAAACATTGACATGAGCAAGAAAAACAAAGTGCCACATCCTATCTTCTAGGCCCCCTGCCTCAGACATAGCATTTAATCAGTGATACACACACCTGGTCATCTACGGAGGCTTCTAAGGCCATGGCCAAATAGCATTATAAGAGAGCCAAGTTTCCGCACTGGTTCTGAGTGACGCGAACCAGATTCTGCTGTTCGACATCCACTTTGCCCAGACTGTATAGACGCGACCTGTGTTTCACCTCAATACCTCTCCCTTCCTGGGACAGGGTCCTTAGACACTAAATGCTTCTGTCTTTGCTTAAGGGTGTGGGATAAGTCATACCTTGTGTCCCTGTGTAAACATTTTTAGGGAACTCTAGATAGTTTGCAAACTCCTGGTGAATCAGCAGAGCACTGTTTCTAGCTCTGTTGCCAGCATATATGAGTCAGCATTGTGGCTGCCGTGGCATCCAAGCGGACTAAAGCTGAGATGGGTACTGCTGTGGTATTACCAGTATCACGGAGATACAATTTCAAGTTTGCCCATTGTGGGCATGGTACTTGCAATGATGAGAAGCAGTGAAGGGAGTATTGGTGAAAATGGAGACCTGGGCTCCTTCCTTGTCTTGGGAACAGAGGGGCAATCTCTGAGACCAAATCTTCCTGTCCTTGAAATTCTTGGCCTTCCCTCTGGCTCATACCCTTCTCCTGCTTCCACAGTTAAGAAAGGGGCCCCCAATGTGAACTTGAAATTGCTTATCTGAGGTTGATACATCAGGTTTTAGCTATGCTCAGCTGCACCTGTCTTAACATCCATTTTCCTCGCCATGGCCTAGCCAGCTGCAGTGCTGTCTGTGGGCCTTGAAGCCTGTGGTGCCGTCCAGGTGGGAGGTGGTAGTCAGCTGCTGCCCTGCCCCCTGCCTGGAGCTGCAGGTCTGCTTCTGGGGTGGGAGTTGGTACAATTTCTGAGTACGGGGACTTCCCACTGCTAGAGGTGAGAAGTTGTAGTTAACTATAACTTACTCAACTATAACTCAAATACAGACATTTAGTGTTCTTAATATGGGAAAGAGAGGAGAAATCTCAGGTCCAATCAGGGTTTTGCCCATCAGCTTTTCACTGAAACTTTTAAGAGATTTTTTCATCTTTCAGTTTAGAGCTGTATTTGCACCATTCCCCACCTTCCCTTCCCCTTTTCTTTTGGTCTCTTTCCAACTTCATTTCTCCATTAGTTTAAATGTACCTCATCAGCTATGAAAGCAGATTATGTCCTTTTTTTTTTTTTTTTAACTGACCTTACTGATAAGACCTACAGCTGAGGGAAGTGCAGTCGAAAGACATGTAGCGTTTGCCTTATTTGGAGCCTAAAGAGCTCAGAAACTCATGCTGTGAATCCCAAAACTCAGCGCTCCTCCAAGAGCTGTGAAAATCATGACACTTTGTCACAATTTTGCCTGAGGGGGTCTTTCCTGCAGGCACCAGAGCTAAACTGAGGCAAATTCCAGATCTACTCTCTGGTCATAGCCCTCCCCCCATGGCTCATTCTCTGCCTGCAGGCCAGGAGCAGCACAGAGTGTGCAGGACTGAGCAGCAGGTCCAGGGCTCTGGTGCAGCCTAATAGAACGCAGAGCCAGCCTTCCATATCCAGGCTGGGATTCCATCTCAATCAATACCATGTACGTAAAGATCCGCGAAAGACCAACTTTTAGACAGTGATCCTTTTCTCCCATTGCGGGGAAGTATGCAGTTGGTGCTTTCTTTAATTCCCTTGTTTTGCTTTGTTTCTGTAAGCTTTTCCCCTGGTATCATGGAAAGGACCTCTTCAACACCACGTTGTGGGTGGCTGTATCCAAAGTCGAAATAATTGACCAGCGGTGAGGAGATCATGCAAGGGAAGGGCTCCTCGCCACAACTGAACTTCTTATGTAAAAAGCTGGCTCGGGAAGAAGGCTTAATTTAATCAAATCAAATCAATGTTACTCTCTAGCTACAAATTGAGCAGCAAAAGGCTATCCTGAGGGTCCCCGTACAGCCCACCATCAGACACAGCGTAGTCTCAGATTTGATGCTTATTGTTTGTGTATCTTCATGAGCCCCTCTCTGGTGCTGAATTGGATTTGAATTCTTGGTGAGAGGCCTCAGCATCTCCTTGGGCTGGTCTGGGCCAGTAAATAGCTGCCTGAAGTGTTTATATATTATCATGGTCAATAGTTCAGTGAAATTTGTACATTTTTTGGTAACATTGGCATACATGATGCCCCTGCAGTTCCTTTTCTGTTTGGTAGTTTGTGACTCGAAAATTCCCACTGTTATGTGTGTTAATTTATGAAAATAAATTTTTTTTTGAAAACCTTTCAAATAACTCTCGACTGTTATTTTGTTCTTATGACTAGTAATAAGTTAAAGTTTCACCTCTAATGTCATAATGTTTATATTTAATGGACGATCCAGAGATACAGTTTAGAAACAAGCATTATTTTCAAAGTGATTTGGAAATCACTTTGTCTTCACAGTCCTGTCTTCTGAGGACTGTCCAGTGCTCAGAACACATTTAGCACTCCACCTTTTGGATACCCTTCGAAGCCTCTTTAATTAAATTAAAAAGTGAAGCTTTTTAAATTTACCCAGTGGTGTCAGCTCATTTCTTGTGTGGGAAATTTGATGTTTGGAAACATCCAAAACTCATTAAGCTCCAAGTCATACCCAATAAATTGGGTGGGGTTGCTGACCAAGGATTTTTTTTTGCATAAGAGTATAGGCCAGAGGAGCAGGGGGTGAGAGGATTCACCAGGCACATATACTGAAATACACTGCTGAAGGGAGCAGCAGGTAAAACAGGAGAGGTCTGCTGCGCCATGTGGGTAGCTCCCTGACCAGGGATCACACTCTGGCTGTAGAGGTGATAGCGCTGAGACTTAACCCATAGGCCACCAGGGAGGCCTCCTGAGCAAGGATTCTAGGTGAGGTTTTTAAGTGGTGTGACTTTTCTCATGATGATGGGGGTGGGGGGCAGGAAAGTGGTATGTCTTTAGATTGAAATATATTTCAAATATTAGCAACATTTTTGGAATAAGCTACAATAACATGCTGAGAATGAGAAGACTACTTGGTATGGGGTATGTTCATTTACTTTTTGAGAGGTCTCTTTTTATCACATTCCCTTCCCAGTTGTACGCTAGTTTCAGCTGTGAGTTCAGATTCTCAATTCTCACCAACTGAACCTAGTGAAAGGACAGATGAAAACATGGCACCCTGACACCACACGGGTGTATTCCAGAAAGAAGTGTAATTCCTGGATGTTCTTCCTCTGTCCAGAAGAAGAGGAGAGCCCAGTCTGTTCTTGAACTACAGTCAAGAATTGTGTCCAGGGCTTCCCTGGTGGCCCAAGAGGTTAAGACACAACCTATGAAGCTAATCGCCACTGCAGCACGAGTTCAATCCCTAGCCAGGGAGCAACCTACTTGGTGCAGCAGACCTCTCCTGATTCGCCTGCTGCTCCCCTCAGCAGTGTATTTCTTCAGTCTGCCTGTTCTGTTCCCCGCTTTGTCTCTAGTGAATCCTCCCACCCCACCCCACCCCCACACTGTGGCCTGTACCCCAGCTCTTGAATGCATAAAAATAAATAAATCTTTAAAAAAAAAAATTGTGTCCAAGTAATCTTTCACACGCCCAGAACATTCTGCCTGACAACTTTTTCTGCTTGTTAGGTTTCACCACTACTTGGAGGAGAATAAATAAAATTTTTCTTTATTTAGAGGGGAACTGTCAATTATGGCAGTTTTTCTTTAGCATGTGCCATGACCAAATTTTTGCAGTGGTGGGGTTGCCTGAAAAGAGCACTTACTTAAGAATCTTCTATGGTATCCTGCCCTCTTCCAGTGATGGAAACTTATTTCTGCAGTTCCTTTTGGGATTTCTCTTGAGAAGAGTTGTAGAAAATTCCTAATTCTTCAAGAAACTTCCAGTTCTAGGTGAGTCATATCTTTTTTCAAGCCTCCTGTGCTCTCTGCTTCTCAGATAAGTTTGCTTCACAATTCACTGAGGAGATAGAAGGAGTTTGAGTAGAACTCCCACATAGGCCTTTTTTTTTAAACATATATTTATTAATACATAGAGGAACTGGGGTATAAGCCAGAGGTGCAGGGGTGAGAGGATTCACCAGAGACAGAGTGGGGGCAGAACAGACCGATTTACTGAAATACACTGCTGAGGGGAGCAGTGGGCAAGACAGGAGAGGTCTGCTGTGCCATGGGGGTCAGCTCTTGAGTGGGGGAACGAACTCATGCTCTAGAGGCTGCGGATACCTTCATTGTGCTGAGGCTTAACCCCCTTGCGCCACCAGGGAGGCCCTGTAAAACATAGTTAAAAAAAAAAAAATTTTAAGATTTATTTATTTATACAAGAACCAGGGTACAGGCCAGATGTGTGGGAGGGTGAGAGGATTCATCAGAGACAGAGCAGGGAACAGAACAGGCAGACTGACTGAAATACACTGCTGAGGGGAGCAGCAGGCAAGACAGGAGAGGTCTGCCGTGCCATGTGGGTATCTCCCCGGCAGGCCAGGATCAAACCCGTGCTGCAGAGGCCGTGGACATCCTCACAGCACTGCCCTCAACCACCTGCGCTACCAGCGAGGCCCTAAAATAATTCTTTTTAATGGCAAAAGTACTTATATCTCACAATATCCATGATGCAGCTCAGTCACCACTGTCCACAGTTTGCAAAACTGCTTTGAAAATGGGAATTTAAATCATGGTTATTAGCCTATTCTTTAAATCCTAGGATAATTCTGCCCCCTAGTGTCAGCAGAGTACTGGCCAATAACCTAGTAGCAGGGAATAATTCACAATTACTAGGTGCTCTGAAATGGTCTTACATCATTTCATCCTTATGATTCCATGAGGAAAGCTATTAAGAAGCATATTATCAGTCTCTATGTATTCATAGTTTTTCCTGTCATTTTCTTAGAATTGATTTCTACCTTTATAGCATTATGGTCAGGGTGAGTACTTGGTAAAATTTCATTCTTTGTAATTTTATTAATTGACTTGCATCCGAACATATGGTATATTCTTGAAAATGTTTCATGTGCACTTGAAAAAAATGTGTATGCAGCAGTTTTGGGGTGGTGTGTTCTATGGATGTCTGTTAAACTTATTTAGTCTAGCTCCTCATTTGAGGCTATTGTTTATTTAGCCTCTCTTGTGTTGATCTGTCAATAGCTATAAGTGGGATGTTAAAATCCCCTAGTAGTATATTGTTGTCAATATTTCTCTTTAGTTCTGTTATTGTCTTATGTATCTTTTTTTTAATTAATTTATTTATACAAGCACGGGGTACAGTCAGAAGTGTGGGAGGGTGAGAGAATTCACCAGAGCCAGAGTGGGGAACAGAACAGGCAGACTGAGGAAATACACTGCTGAGGGGAGCAGCGGACCTGGCAGGAGAGGTCTGCACGCCATGTGGGACCCTCGCCAGCAGCGGCCGGGGAACGAACCAGCGCTGCAGAGGCTGCAGGCAGCTTCACAGCCCAGCGCTCAACCACTGCGCCACCAGGGGAGGCCCTGTCTTATGTATCTGGATGCTCCATCATTTAGGTCATATATAATGTTTGTTATTTCCTCTTATTAGACCCTTAATCATAATATAATGCCTGACCATCTCTTATTACCTTTCTTTCTAAATAAAGAGGATTTAGGATTTGCTAAGGGGAGCAGCTGGCCAGACAGTAGAGGTCTGCTGTGCCATGTGGGTCACCTCCCTGGCTGGATATCGAACTTGTGCTGCAGCAGCTAGCGGAAAGCTTTATTATGCTGCGTCTTAACCCCTTGCACCACCAGGGAGGCCCCCAGTCTAAGTATCTTGTATAGTCTCATATCACCTTCCACTTCTAGGCTATGTCTGAGCACTAGATGCAGTGCTGGGGTTTGATTGTAGTTTATACAGGGTCACAAGTCAGGAGTTGTTCATTTTTATTTTCTAGAACAGAGTCTTATCCTAGGATGTGTATGTCTATAGTTAGCAGGTGCTTGAACTCTGCTTAATTAAAGTGTTGTGTTTTTTTTTTTTATCTTGGTTTTAGCCAGAGGTGGGGTGGGTGGGCAGTGGTAGTGGCAGGTGTTATCCCAGCATTGAGCTTCAAGTAGTTGCCTCCTCTTTGAGGAGACACAGGTGATCTGACCTGGTTCTCTTTGCTGGTTTGGACTAGCTGGTTTATTTTGGGAGCAGCAGGCTCCAGTCACTAATCATCACTCTGTACCCTCCATTCTATAGTTCTCTAATAGTACACCACCTGTGGATGCCAACTCTATGTATCCTTTATCCAGCACAGTGCCTGGTCTCCAAAACTCCTGATGTTGGCATGTGCGTCTGTGAAGGATTTTATGGAGCAGCCTCCTCCCAACTCCTGCAAGGGCTGTAGTGCTCTGGTATCACTGCAAACACTGCTCAATTAGAGTTTTTTCCTATCCCTTTCTTCTGGGCAATTCCCACTGGTGTGTACTGCAGTAGTCTGTTTTTCTTTCAGGGGTTATTAGCTTTGGCTACAATCTGGTTGTGAGTATATGGAGGAAGCCAGCCTGGCCTCTTCACTCTGCCACCATCTTGCCGGATTCTGCTTCCATCCATTTTGCACTTCATTTTGAAGCGCTCTTCCTCCCCTCAGTTTTGTGTTACTACTCTCAATTGAACATTAAAACCAATTCTATACTTTTTCCCCCCTCAGATTTTCAAAAGCCAAATGGGGAAGTATCTTCTAATACAAAACCTGATGCCTGTTAAGCTCCTTTATGAGCTGGTTATGTTACAGGGCAGGGAGAGGGGCAGCCCAAATCCCACAAACCTGCCTATTCTAAATGGGTTCTGCCATCCACCGCATCAACACAAAACATTAGACTTTAATGGGAAGGAACTTTAATACAACTAGGAAACAATACAGGAAAGGCAAAGAATCTAGTTTCTAAATCAAGCACCCAAAGTTACCCGTCCCCTCGTGGTAAAACTCCATCCAAATGGGATTGGCCCAGAGCCTGCCACAAGTCCAAAGCAGAAAAGGGACCCACAGAAAAGGGTCAGAAACAACCAGACAAGCCCAGAAGGAAAAGAGCAAAATCAACATCAAGATAAAAGCTGCCATTGTCACCTCCCCACGGGTCTCACCCACATCTGTGTCACCCCGTCCACGACCAAAAGACAAGCACAGTTTCTTCACATGTCTCTCTATTCCATGTGCCTCCTCCAAGTCTCCTCCTGGCTCTCTATAGGGGCAGGAATGGACACAGTGCAGGTTTTCTAGGATCCCATGCAGAACGGGTAAAGGAGGAGTCAGAGTCCTCAGTGGTTTTTGCAGGTCTTTTATTGGGGTTCACCAGGCATATGGCAGGCAGGGGTGCTGGGGGGCCAGAAGGCTGGCAGTCCTCCCGTCCCCCAGCAAGTCTTCACTCTATCTGGGCTCTCCGGCGTTCTCTGCTTCTCTTGCTTCTCTCTCGGCTTCTCTTGCTTCTCTCTCGGCTTCTTGGCTTCTGCTGGCGTCCCCGTGACGCCGCCCTTAAAAGCCCAGTCTTAGCCCAGGTGAATCCCATCTACCTATGCCCACACCCTACTCCAGGTGCCCGCCATCAGGCATGCATTCAGGACCGCAAGGATCCATCATCTATCCTGATGGTGGGAGGGCAGAAAAGCCTGACATTTTTTCCTTACCCTACACTCTCCATCCTGCTTCCTTCCTTCTCAGTCTCCTCTGCAGCTTCTTCTCTCTCTGCTCAGCTCCACCCTCCATTTGGATGGGGCAGGGAACCTGGAACCTCCCCCTTTTCTGGGGACCACCCTGTTACAGTTATGCCATACATGGGCTTAAATAACCACATAGAAATAATTGCAAGCATCAGGTAATATATCCCTCTTGCTGTGTCAAATGTCTGCTGTCCACAATAGGGCTTAAAAGAAAGAAGGTTGTAAAGGCAGGACAAAACACAGTACAGGTTCTCTGATCCCATGCAGACCAGGTAAAGGAGGAGTCAGAGTCCTCAGTAGTTTTGCAGGTTTTTTATTTGGGGTTCACCAGGCATATGGCAGGCAGGGGTTCTGGCTGGGGGGCTGGCAGGCTGGCAGGCCTCCCAGCCCCCAGCAAGTCTTCACTCTATCTGGGCTTTCTGGAGTTGGTTCTGCTGCTTCTTGGCTTCTCTTTCGGCTTCATACTGCTGCTGCTGCTGCTACTGGTGCTGCTGGCGTCCCCCCATGACGCCGCCCTTAAAAAGCACAGTCTTAGCTCAGCTGAATCCCATCTACCTATGCCCACACCCTATTCCAGATGCCCGCCATCAGGCATGCATTCAGGATAAGAATCCATCATCTATCCTGATGGCGGAAGGGCAGAAAAGCCTGACATTTTCTTTACCCTACAGTCCACCCTCTCAGGGTTTTCTGCCATACAGTCTATATATATACAATTTTCTTATCAAACAAACAATGCAGCCATGGCCCACAAAAGCAAATACATCACAACAAAATACAACAGAACACAAATAAGTCCAGGCAGGGCCCCAACCAAGTGCAAAAGACAATTATTGGTACCAGCAGATAAGCCACCAAATCTGCTGCCGAAGGCACTGCTCATACAAGGAAGGGGAAATCACATCTACTATATCACACCAGGAGCCGTCAGGCTTCCTGGCCTTCTCTGGCTGTAGTCTCGGCTACAAGGCACACACAGCATCCACCCCCAGGATGCACTAGCTCTGGGATTGGCAATTTTATTCTGTTGGGGGTAATCGCCAATCCTCAGGGTTTCTGTCTGCAGTCGCTCCAACACTCGGCCTTCATGGCCACCAATGCGACTCGCAGACCCCTGCACTCAAGCCAACCCACTGCACAAGCACGTGGGTTGGGGACCAAAACTCTACATTTGGCTTGGGCTCCACCCCAAGCCACGTTCCCCACCCGTCCCCCAAGGACAGGTTCCTCAGCAACTCACCCTCGCTCAAGAATGAGCAGGGCATCACCCACAGGTGATTTTACGAGACTCACAGTTCTTCAGCATACTCAGGCTGCTTAACAGCCACTCAGGGCTTCTCAACTTAGCATCAGTACCAGCTTTTGCCTTCTCAGTTGGCTTTTCTCCTCCACCTGGCTGCTGGGCATAACAGGCTGTTTTTGGCCATCTAGGCCCACTGGCCACCCCCAGATTCCCATCTCCTGGGGTTTACAAACAAAACTGTTCCACCCCCAGGGTCCCAAAACATATCAACCTGTAAGGTCCTCTGCCTTCTGGCGGGATTGTCAGTCCAAGTTCGTCAGTCCATCAATTCATGTCCATTGGCCTCTCCCTGCTTCAGCAACGGTCTGCTGCCTCAGGGGTCATTGGCTGGTCCTTTCCGGTGTCGTTGTCTGGTCCTCGTGGGCGTCTCCTTCATGCCAGGTCCTGTCCTGCAGCTCCTGGACAGTGTCTACCTTCTGTACTGCCATGGCGCCTCCAGCATCGTCACAGGCACACAGTCTGTTCTCCTTAGTCCCTCCAGGTCTTTGGAGGGCTCCATACCCGTCTGCATGGATCTTGCCGACTTACGCCAATTGTTTTTTTTATTTATTTATTTATTTATTTATTTTAATAGAGGCATGCTTTATTTATTTATTTGTTTTTTTTTTTTTTGTTTATACATGCACTGGGTACAGTCAGAAGCACGGGAGGGTGAGAGAATTCACCAGAGCCAGAGCGGGGAGCAGAGCAGGCAGAAGGACCGAAGTACACTGCTGAGGGGAGCAGCGGGCAGCAGGAGAGGTCTGCGCGCCATGTGGGACCCTCCTCCAGTGGCCGGGAGCAGCCGGGGATCGAACCGGCGCCGCAGAGGCCGCGGGCAGCTTCGCAACCCAGCGCTCAACCGCTGCGCCACCGGGGAGGCCCTCGACTTACGCCAATTGTAAGGGCCGGACTGGCCACAGTGCAGGTTCTCTGATCCCATGCAGACTGGGTAAAGGAGGAGTCAGAGTCCTCAGTAGTTTTGCAGGTTTTTTATTTGGGGTTCACCAGGCATATGGCAGGCAGGGGTGCTGCCTGGGGGACTGGGAGGCTGGCAGGCCTCCCAGCCCCCAGCAAGTCTTCACTCTATCTGGGCTCTCTGGAGTTGGTTCTGCTGCTTCTCGGCTTCTCTTTCGGCTTCATACTACTGCTGCTGCTGCTACTGGTGCTGCTGGCGTTCCCCCGTGACGCCGCCCTTAAAAAGCACAGTCTTAACTCAGCTGAATTCCATCTACCTATGCCCACACCCTATTCCAGGTGCCCGCCATCAGGCATGCATTCAGGATAAGAATCCATCATCTATCCTGATGGCGGAAGGGCAGAAAAGCCTGACATTTTCTTTACCCTACAAAGGTTTAGCTCATGATTCTGGAGGCAAATATGTCTGTTCAAATACTGGCTTCCATTTTACAGCTGCATGCTTTTGTGCATATTGATTACTCTGAGTCACGCTTTTTCTATCTTTTAAATGGGGATAACGCTTTTTCTATCTTTAAAATGGGGACAATGCCAAGTCAGGGCTAGCCGCTTGACTTGTCTCTTTCCATTAAAAAAAAAAGAAAAAGAAAAAGCAGATACTAATGAAAACTGATTTTCTTTAAACTCCGACTAGGAGTCTCTGCAGAAGTAAACTTCCTCACACCAGTGCTTCTCATTTGGCGACTAATTTCTTTTGGAGGTGACCCAAGACCCCTTGCTTCTGGTCTCTCTGGCAGTTCAGGGCGGGAGGTAAGAAGTAGACCCAGCATGCAAAATGCTCAGAACAGCCTGGCACTCAGGAAGCGCTTAGTAAATGGCAGCTGATAATGCGTGAGAAAGAAAGGTACTCGAGTTGGAGTCCTGGCTCCTCTACTAACTGGCTGGGTTAAATGGGTAGTGCTTTCCCCCTGTATGAATTAGCATACTAGATGCATTCTAGGACCTTGGGCGACTCGGATTTTCTAGGCATCCGCGGAAACGCACGACAGAGGGACAGACTGGCCACGGTGCACCCAGGCCCAACGCCCGCACCTGCCCAACCCCACCCGGAAGGTTCCACGAGAACCAGGAGGTGGGCGGGGGCGCACCGGAGGAGTGGGCGCCACGCACAGCACCTGCGTTCCTCATTGGCTCCGCGAGCGCTGGGTTATGACGCCACCCGCGTGAGCCGCGCCTGTAAAAGGGGGCGTGCTCCGCTCCAAAAGAGGAGGCAAGATGGCGGCGTCCGTAGGCCAGAGGTGTCTGAGGTGCTTGCGCGGGACTATGCCGCGGCGGAGCAGGTACAACTGCGCGTAGAGGCGACCTTGGGATGGGGGCAGCCGAGGCCAAACCCTGAGCAAGAGAGAGAAACTATTTCTCCTTCGCAGACTTGCCCTGAGGAGAACTCGAGTGGAGACGGAGTCACCTTCATCTCGAGCTCCAGAGCAGGTGCGGCTACCGCCGCGGAGAAAAGTCCAGGTGTAGTTAGAGTCTGGTCCGACTTTTTTGAGCCCTCTCTCGCTCTGCCCTTTCTAGCTCCGTGGGAAGGGCTGATGCACAGGGGATCTGAAAACCACATGGGATAGGCTATGTTGCAACCCCCGTCCCCGCCCGAGGCGAGGCAGGGCTGGACGCCTTGTTCTCAGGGATTTATGTTTCTGGAAGGGGCAGCGTGATGTACGAAGAGCCCTGAATGGGAATCCGGCGACTTTCACTTCGGAGTTTGCTCTTTGAAGATAGGAGTTTGGAGCCGGTAATGTCAAAAGTCTTGCGGAATTGGGGTCATGGCTACTCCGGTGATTCCCAATTCTTATTTTCTTAGAGCTGAAAGAGACCTAAGGGGTCATCTAAGTCTAGCTTTTTGGACTTGGGAAAATTGAGGCCCCGAGAGAGGGAGGATCTTGCTCAGTTTAACCGAGCAAGTTAGTAGCAGAGCCAAGGCTGGAACTTCTTTCTCCTGCCAGTCAGCTCCTTTCCAGGGCAGTCTACCGTGAGGACATTTATTATTTAAAGATAGGCTGGGAGTGTTTGGACTTTAGGAAAATGGATTGAATGTTGGATATCTTCTACACCGAGTCAGCTGCTCAGTGTCATTTCAAAGAACTAAGGTTTAAGAGTTGCAAGGTTACTTTGTGATTTTGTTAGTGTTGACCAAAACTTGCGCTGTAATTATAAGTAGCTTATTGTAATTTGGGGAGGTAAAAAGGGCGCTGGATTTGGACTGAAAGGGAACAGAAACATCACTGGCCCTTGCCCATCTTCACTCTCCACCATTAACTCTTCAGAATTGGTGTAGCTCTCCCAAGACGGGCTCTGCGATGTGGTGATAATAATTTATGGTTTGGACAGGAGGGTCTCTGTGGTTTCTATGTTATTATGGCTGTGCTGTTTATGAGTCAGCCAAGAATTCATCTAAATTATGTCATGAGTTGGAAAGACTGAAAACATTCCTAAAATATTTTTTTTTTTTATAGAGGCATGTTTATTTATTTGTTTGTTTGTTTTGTTTATACATGCACTGGGTACAGTCAGAAGCACGGGAGGGTGAGAGAATTCACCAGAGCCAGAGCGGAGAACAGAGCAGGCAGAAGGACCGAAGTACACTGCTGAGGGGAGCAGCGGGTGGCAGGAGAGGTCTGCGCACCATGTGGGACCCTCCTCCGGTGGCCGGGGAGCAGCCGGGGATTGAACCGGTGCCACTGAGGCTGCGGGCAGCTTCGCAACCCAGCGCTCAACCGCTGCGCCACCGGGAAGGCCCCCCTAAAATATTTTTTAAATGATGGTGAGGAGGATGGATTCATGCGCCATCATTTAAAAAGGGAGAGAAAAAGGTCATACTTTAGTACCAGTGTAGGTAGATAAAACTGAATTTATTTATTTAAAAAAAAGATTTATTTATTATTTATACAAGCACTGGGTACAGTCAGAAGCGCGGGAGGGTGAGAGAATTCACCAGAGTCAGAGCAGGGAGCAGAGCAGGCAGAAGGACTGAAGTACACTGCTGAGGGGAGCAGCGGGCGGCAGGAGAGGTCTGCGCGCCATGTGGGACCCTCCTCCGGTGGCCGGGGAGCAGCCGGGGATCGAACCAGCGCTGCAGAGGCTGCGGGCAGCTTCACAACCCAGCGCTCAACTGCTGCGCCACCGGGGAGGCCCTAAAACTGAATTTAGAGCTGAAAGAGACCTGATGGGTCAGACCCATCAGGTCTCTTTCATTTGGGTACAATACAAACTCTTAATTTTCTCTTATGTAGAAAAAAGATAGAAACTACATTTATTTTCAGAAAGCCCAAAAGGCTGCATTTTCGTTAATTTAAGGACAGCAGTGTCTATAAGACAGATGAAGCCCTCATTGCAGAGATTTTTTTTTAATAAGAGGGTGATAGGGCCTCCCCGGTGGCGCAGCGGTAGAGCGCTGGGTTGCAAAGCTGCCCGCGGTCTCGGCGGCGCCGGTTCCATCCCCGGCTGCTCCCTGGCCACCGGAGGAGGGTCCCACATGGCGCGCAGACCTCTCCTGCCGCCCGCTGCTCCCCTCAGCAGTGTACTTCGGTCCTTCTGCCTGCTCTGCTCCCCGCTCTGGCTCTGGTGAATTCTCTCACCCTCCCGCGCTTCTGACTGTACCCAGTGCATGTATAAACAAAACAAACAAACAAGCAAACAAATAAATAAAGAAAAACATGCCTCTATTAAAAAAAAAAAATCTTAAAAAAAAAAAAAAAGAGGGTGATATATGACAGGTGGTAGAACAAAGAGAAATCAGCATTTTGAGTGACAATTTGAGTGACATGTTTCCCAAATTTATTTGTTAAAAGAATGGAATGAATGTTTTTAGAAACATTCCCAGATATTCCTCAACCTTGATGCCAAATTCACATTTAGTAGCAGTTGGTTGGGGCTCTGGCAGCTGTGTTGTTTTTTCTTTTTAACAAATGCCCCAAGTGATTCCTAGGTTTAGGCAAGTATAGACATGGTACCTGGGGAGTGGTTGCTTGTGCAAAGCTAATATTCCAAAATATTTGACACCCCTCCTACTGCAAACTACAGGAACCATGTGGGGATGGGGAGAGGTGGGTGGGGAAAAGAGAGGAATGAAAAGGTTCTTGAAGGAGACCTTGTGTTTAAAAATTTTATAATTAAAAAAATACATAATTTATTGAAGAGGAAACACTAGTAAATACAAGGTAAGATGCAAGATAAAACCTTTAAGAGGTCTGCCAGTTCATGTTTAGAACTTTCACAACTTTAGAAAGTAGGAGAGACATGTTACCATTAGTTGCAATGTTAAAAATGTTTTATAATTATAATAGAGTGAACTCTGGTCATAGAGAATGGATATCAACATCCCAGTGTGCCAGCCGAATATCAATGCTGTTACTTTTAATAATAGTAATTAATAGGTGCCAGGCTTAGGATTTTACATGATTGTATCACATACTCCTAATGAGCTAAATCCTGTTAAAGGTGGAGAAACTGAGGGAGGCTTAGAATTAGTTTAGAATTTTCCCAAGGTCACGTTGCTAGTAAGTGGCAGAACCGGGATTTGAGGCACACATCAGACTTGATGCTTAAACATGGACTTTAATCACCTGCTTGCAGGATGCCCACATGAGTTCGCCTTGTAGCAGGGAGTGCTGATTGAGTTTATCTGTTCATTTCTCTGGGATTTTGTCTCACTGAGAAGATTGACAAAACCCTGCATCATCGAGGGATAGCAGGCAGTAAACAAATAAGTGAACTTATAAATCTATTCTTTGCAGATAATAGGAAGTGCAATGAAGGAAAACGAAGGAAGGTACTAGAGTTTCCTGAAGAGGAAACATTTGAGCAAAGAACTCAAATGGTGAAGGAGTGAGTCACATGGTGGGGTGTGCCCAGTAGAGTAAACAGCACATGCTTTAATGTAGAAGGGGGTATAGGTGTGGTGTGTACAAGGCGTGTCGAGAGGAATGAGTGAGGAGCAGAGGGAAAGCAGCAGAGATCTGAGAGGTCAGCAGGTACCAATTACATCAAATCCAGTCTGCTGTTTTGAAAAGTTCATTGGCTGTTTTGTGGTGAATCGGATATAGAAGACCACGCATTGAACCGGGGAGAACAGGATGTCACAGTCATCTAGTCAGTCATCAGGTGGCTTGGGCTAGGGTGAGAAAAGATGAGTGATGGGCAGGATTGAATATATTCTGAATGGAGAGTCTTGCCAGTGGATTGAATTTGGGTAGTGATAAAGGATTTCCGGATGTGTCCTAGGGTTTTCACCTGTGCAGTTGGGTAAATGGCGGTCCCTTTTTCTGAGGTGGCACATTAATTATAGTAACGCTGCCTCTATAATGGGTAAACCAGTGATTTAACACAGTAGAAGTGTATGTCTTGCTCTTGTAAAGCCTTCATGGGTGCTCCTGATTGGCAGGACAGCAGTGATTCATGGACCTAGTCTCCAGTCATCTGTTTTGTTTTTTTTTTAAGGTTTATTTTTTTATTTATACAAGAACCGGGGTACAGGCCAGATGTGCGGGAGGGTGAAAGGATTCATCAGAGATAGAGCAGGGAACAGAACAGGCAGACTGACTGAAATACACTGCTGAGGGGAGCAGCAGGAGAGACAGGAGAGGTCTGCCGCGCCATGTGGGTATCTCCCTGGCTGGCCGGGATCGAACCCGCACTGCAGAGGCTACAGACAGCTTAACAGCCCTGCGCTCAACCGCCTGCGCCACCAGGGAGGCCCTCCAGACATCTTTAACACATGTTTTTGCAATGTCTGTATCAAGTAGGCTGAAAGGGGGAAGTCTGTAGTAGATGCCTGGGAAGCCTGAATGGTCCTCACATTGGTAAAAACTCGATTCCATGACCGCACCCTGTTGTGGGGGGATCTGGGAAGAAAAGGAAGCTGATTTGATAAACATCTGATTAGCCTCTGGACTAGTCTGGGGCAGCAGCAAGTTGAGGGTGTAGTATAAGAGAAGATTGGTTAGGCTTTTACACTGCTGTCCTCTGTGGCTATCACCTGTGGTCTTGAATGCAGGAGGTGCTTGGGCTCAGGGCGCTCATGTCTGATTGTGGACACCTGGAGTATGGTGCGGGCATGCATAAGTGGGTACAGCTGCGTTTTGAGGCTGAGGCTATAAGGGCAGCATCATTCAGACAGCTGTGGTGAAATGGCTGCAATAGGATGAAACTACAAAGCCAGAGAGCCCAAAGTGAAAGAGTGAAGATTGCTGGGGGCTGGGAGGCCTGCCAGCCTCCTGGCCTGGCCCTCTGATCTCCCTGCCTTGCTTGCTGTGGGCTTGCCCCGTAACAGTTGGCGTAGAAAGAGCATTAAAGCCTGAAAAAAACCACTGAGAGATCCTTTATCCATCTGCGCAAATTGATAGAGAACCTGCCCTGTGCTTCCTGTTGCAAAAAGGGGAGTGTCAGGAATTCTGCTTTTGACAGTTTCAGTGTAAGATGACACAAAGTGGGGATGTTGGGTAGCCAGTTGGAAATATGGATCTGGAGGTCTGTGAAGGAGCAGTGAGGAACTCATCATGGTGTTGCCGTTTAGAGTGATGAAATTGGACCAGCATCTCTAGGAAGGGCATAGACAGAGAAGTAGGAACCATGGCAATACTTCGAAGTCAGAAAACAAAGGAGAATCCACAAAGGAGACTGAGGTGAGACCAGAGGTATGAGGAAAGGGTCCTGGAAGCCAAGTGAGGAATGTGTTTCAAAAAGGAGAAAAGAGATCTCTAGTGGCAAATGCTGCTGAGAGATCAGGTAACATGAGACCCAAGAAATGTGTGTTGGTAGCATGGAGGATATTGAAGACTTCAACAGGAAGGGGCGTGATAGGAGGAAAAGCCTTGGTTGAATGAGATTAACAGTGGGAGGTGAGGAAGCAGCTACAGTGAACATGGTTTTTTTTAAGAGCTGGTGAAGAAGAAGAGCAAAAGAGTGGAATGGGAACTAGAGAAGGATATATGATTGACAGCGTGCTATGTAAGATCATTCGGCATTTATATGGGGAGAGGAAAGATCTAGTAATTCAAGACAATGGTGCATTGCCATGTATGTATTTTAGGGCTGGGGCTGCAGCAGTGTATAAGAAAACCCAACTCTGTGCTTTCAGGCAGCAAAGAGGGAAGACCCATGTCCAAAACCAACTGCCTGAGTGCAGTGCTTCCTGGTATAGTGGATAAACACAAATGGGAGTGAGTGTTGCTCACTGGCCTTTAGGGGTGACAGTTATCATGGTCCCATGCTTTTTCTCCATGCAGACCTATTTGTCGGTGGGAAGATCAGGTTTATCACATTAGCCATATTTGTTTCATGCTGCAAGAGAATATTTTTATATTAAAGAAATTTCAGGCAAAAAAAAAAAAATGAAGGTTTCGATATATGATAATGTTCACAGGAAACCAAGGTAGACATTAGCTGCTAAATACCCATGAAAGTAAATATCGTATAAAAGTTGTAAATGCAGTTCCATTTTCCACATAAAAAGCAATATAGATATTTATAATAAATTAGTACTTCTTAAATAAAGGGCTCCAAAGAAAAAAAAGAAATGCTTACTGACAAGAATACAGTTTCTTTATTGCAGGTCAATATTTGGGGAAACTGAAATGTTACCTGAATTGAAAGTGACATTTGTCCTTTGATTAACTAAAAAATTCATTGATGCTTTACTTGCTGGCATAGCCATTTGATACTATTCAGTTTCCCTGGGTGAAGAGGAGACAAGAGAAACTGAGTCAGAAATAATATTTTCTTAGAGCATGAAGCTATGAAAGTAATTTTTTTTTTTCCAGGAATGTTTGAAACCTATTCTGTCCAAGTAGTTTTTGTGGCAAAAGTAGGCACAAAAGATATTCAAAAATGCTAGATCCATACTTGACATAGATTGGGCTTTCCATACTTGGCATAGATTAGAATAGTTCAGGCATGGTTGGTTTGTGTAATTCCCCCCCCCCCAGGTCATTTAAAATGTATAATTTCCACGTGCTGAAATCTTAGATTCCTTAATGAGCCAGGGCTAGGTGTTTGCAGGCTGTGTCAACGCTTCTGCGGTGCGGAGACGTAGACTTTGTGGGGGAGCACCAGTGCTGCTGCTGATTGTGATCTTGTGCTTATTTGAGGAAAAAAAATTAACTTTTTATTGTGAAATAGTTTCAGATTTGCAGAAAAGCTATAAAAGTAATACATAGGATTCTTGAATGCGCTTCACCCAGAATCACCAAATGTCGACTATTTGCCTTTTTTCATTCCCTCCCTCCCTCCCCTTGGCCCTTCCTTCTTCCCCTACTCACTCACGTATGTATAGTAATAATATATTTTTCTCTGAAACGCTTGCTGCCCCTGTACTTTTAAGTATTGCAGCCTTTTTCTTACAGGGACATTTTCTTACATAACCGCAGCACAGTGGTCAAAACTAGGCAATTAACATTGACACAATACTGTTATAGAATCTATAGACTATTCAAAATTTGCCAAATGATCCACTAATTTTTGTAATTAAAAAAAAATGTTTTAATGGTTCATTTTCGCTTGGTTATAGCCTCCTTCACTGTGAAAACACTGTCCTCAACCATTTCTCACAATCCTTGTGGAAGCTGCCTCTCAGAGTCTTTTGCACAAGTAAGTAATGATCAGTGGTGGCTGTGCCTTCATTTGTCCATCCGTAAATTGGGATAAACATTCCTATGTGAGAATGAAATGATGTGCTGCGAGAGCCTGCATGTGTTTATCATGGAGCAGTAGCTGGCTATTACCTCATCCTTTTTACTGACTGTGTGGTGCTCATCGTATGCCAGTACTGTTTGGTGGGACATTGAAGTGGTTTCTGATCCTTTTCTACTTCAGACAATTGTGTGGTAACATAATCTTTGGGCATCTTCAGGATAAAATTTCAGTGGTAGAATTGTTGAATCAAAAGGTTTATGTATTTTATAATTTGATATTTAGGCCAAATTGCTCTTCAAAGAGGTCGTCCCACTTCACACTCAAGAAGTACATATGCATACATCAGTTTCCCACACGTTCACCAGCACTGTGGGTTATAAACTTTTATTTTTTTTAATTTTAAAATTTTTTTGGGGGGGACCCTCGCCGGTGGCTGGGGATCGAACTGGCGCTGCAGAGGCTGCGGGCAGCCTCGCAATCTAGTGCTCAACCGCTGTGCCACCAGGGGGGGCCCTGGATTATGAACTTTTAAAACCTGTTAAGCAGCTATTTGAACCCATAAAAAATGTGTGTATTTATTACATAAATATCTTTTTATCATACTGCTATTTTTAACTGTCTAATAACAGTACTGTGGGAATAAAATGAGAGGTTAATGAGAACAAAAATAGTAGTTAATAGGAGCACATCTGGGTGTTACTTATTTAGTGAGGAGTTGCTTGCTGCAACATGTAGGAATCATAGGAAGGAGAACCTCAAAAATAGGGCCATACTTGGGTCTGCTGAAAAGCAACCACTGTGCTTTCATGAAATGATAGACCCAACCCAGGTGGTCAGGAGAGGAGCGCGCTCTGCTCACTGCTTCCTGTTGGAAAGTTTAGCAAGCCTTTGAGGATGGAAGACCAAGCCCCATAACTAGAAGAAAGGTCGGTGGACCGGAAAACATGGAGTCGGCTGAGACTAGCCGTTCTCGGGTGCTGTCAGTGCAAGGAGGATACAATAGTTCTTTCCTTACCAGAAATTTTAGAAAGAGAAAAAGTTTCTTGCCTTTTGACAAGTCTTTATTGGCCAGAGGCAGAATGTCTAGTGGAAGGGTCCACTGGGAATAGTTAAAAAGGTGGGAGAGGTGAATGGTGGCCACACTTGCACATTAGAAAAAGAAACAGCAGTAACAAAAACCAGGTGTGGAGACAGTGATGGAGGAAACAGGACAATTTCCTCTCATTGGAAACCAAAGGCAAGACAAGGCTATGCTCTTTGGTTTTACACAGACTGATGAGAATTCAGATCTTGAAATCTTGAATTGCTAACAGCTTTATTGTCGTTTCATTTGTGTGTCGTTAAACATACCCTATTAAATATGCAATTCAGTGGTTTTAAGTAATTCAGTTACAAAACCATCACCACTAATTTTCGAACATTTTCATTCCCTGTCCCGGCCTTCTCTCCCTTGCTTCCCCCCCCATAACAACACTTAACCCATTAAGCGGTTGCTGTGCATTTCTTCCTGACCCCCCGCTGCTAGCAGCCACGAGTCTACTTCACGTCTCTATCGGTTTTCCTGTACTGGAAGCGTCATGTAAATGGAATTAGACAGTATGCATCCTTTTGTGACTGGCTTCTTTCGCACATTGTAGCATGTGTCAGTACTTCCTCTTTGTTATCAAATAGTACTCTCTTCGTGAGGATGTACCGCATCTTGTTTTTTTTCATTCATCAGTTGATGGACATTTGGATTATTACCACTTTTTGGCTATTATGAATAATGCCGGTATTGAAAATTCATGCCTAAGTTTTCATGTAAATGAATGTTTTCAATTCTTTTAGATATACATCTACGAGCAGAATTGTTGGACCATATGGCAGTTTCATGTTTAATTTAAGGAACTAACAAACTGGTTTTCAAATTGGCTGCCCCAGTTTATAATCCCAGCAGCACTATGTGAAGAGTCATGCATCCTTGCCAATACTTATCTTTTATTCTAACCATCCTAGTGGGTGTGGCATAGTCTCATTGTGGCTTTGATTTTCATTTCCCTGATTACTTGTGATCTTGTTTTGGTGATGTAGCAAAATACCACAGACTGACTAGTTTAAACAGTAGAAATTAATTTCTCATGTTTTGAAAGGTCCTCGATCAAGGTGTCGATTGTGTTCTTCTATGGGCTGTGAGATAGAATTTGTCCCATGTCTGACTTCTAATGGATTGCTGGCAATCTTTGGCTTTCTTGGTCTTTAGAAACATTATCCTGATCCCTGCTTTCATTCTCATGTAGCCTTCTGTGTGTCTGTGTCCAAATTGTTCTTTTTTGTATGGATACTAGTTAATCCTATGGTTAGGATCCATCATAATGACCTTATTTTAATTTTTATTTTATTTATGCATATAAGAACTAGGATGTAGGCTAGAGGTGCAGGGGGTGAAAGGATTCAACAGACAGAGTGGGGAGCAAAACAGGCAGATCTACTGAAACGTACTGCTGAGGGGAGTAGTGGGTGAAACAGGAGAGGTCTGCTGCGCCATGTGGGTAGTTCCCTGGCTGGGGATAAAACTCATGCAGCAGTGGCTGGCGATAGCTTGATAGCGCTGACTTTCACCCCTGTGCCACCAGGGAGACCCCTTATTTTAATTCGATTACCTCTGTAGAGACCTGATCTCCAAATAAGGTCATATAGTCTAAGGTACTATGGGGTAGTTAGGACTTCACCATAAGAATTTTGGAGGGACACAGTTCAGCCTATAATAGTTGAGCATCTTTTCATGTGCTTATTGGCCACTTCTATATCTTCTTTGAAAAAATGTCTATTCAAATCCTTCATATATTTTTAAATGGGGTCATTATCTTTTTATTGTTGAGTTATAAGAGCTTAGGAGATTTTGTACTTGACAATACTAGTGTTCAATCAGAATTGGACCTGAGTTGTAAAAGTGAGGTCAAAGTCCTGGCTGTGAAATGGTCCCGGCTTCCAGTCCTGTACCCGTTGGTGGCCAACTGGGCAATCTTGGTTATTTTCTTGATCTCTTTGTGATTCATGTGTCTATCATAAATTCTGTCACTGTGGTGGCAGTCGAGATTATGTTGTATTCATAGGAAAGATGTGTGCCCCTTACTTACTGACACAATTTGGAGACAGAAGCATTTTAGAAGTGACTCAGGGTTGCCCTGCCTGTCAGAGCACATCCCTTCAGGTTACAGTCACCTTTACTGAGTTTCTAAGGTGCACTGATGTTTCCTGACCCTTCTGTTGGTGCTGTGTTTGTGTGACTCATCCCTACCCCTTCTCTCCAGCTCAGAACTTCTCTATTTTTTGTTACAGATGCCAGAAAAGTCCACACTGCCCCTCCTCGATCCTTGTTCATGCTGCGCCCCCTGCGCCTTCTGTTTGTGACCGGCAGTGGGTACGCAGGCTACCGACAGTATGAGAAGTACAGGGAACAAGAACTGGAGAAGCTGGGATTGGAGATTCCACCCAAACTTGCTGGTCACTGGGAGGTAGGAATAAGGTGGAACCACCTGGAGTTCTTATTCAGCATAACTGTCACTTTTGAAACTGCCCCACTGATGAAATGTTTGAAAAAGTGAATTGTACTTTCATGGAGCTTATGTCTCCAAGTGACATTTTGGCCAGATACAGAAGTACATACCTTCGGCATTGAATCAGGCTCTCCTGACTTACCTTTGGGTAGAAATTCCTGCTGCTGAAATCCTCGAGAGTTCATGCCTGCTGTCAGGGCTGGCGTGCTGGCCATCATGCCCTTCTTAGTCGGAGCAGGAGCTGAAATGGTTTGGCTTTTGTGATGTGGACTAGTTCTCACCAGGAACCAGACTGAGATAATCAACTTCCTTTATCATTATTGCTCAGAACACTCCCCCTTGATGGGGGATGGGCAGGGTCATAGAACTGTGCAGGCACGGCACATAGTGAATGGTCTTACTCCTTTGTGCTAGGGACACCGCCTAAATCAGTTAAACATTCAGTAAATATGAAATGGAATAATAAGGTGTAAGTTTTAAAATGACCTTATCAGTTATGGCTTTTTTTTTTTTTTTAAAGATTTACTTATTCATGCATACAAGAGCTGGTATACAGGCCAGAGACACGGGTGTGTGTGTGTGTGTGTGTGTGTGTGTGTGTGTGTGTGTGTGTGTGTGTGTGAGAGAGAGAGAGGATTTACCAGAGACAGAGCGGGGAACAGAACAGGCAGACTAACTGAAACACATCGCTAAGGGGAGCAGCGGGTGAGACAGGAGAGGCCTGTTTCGCCATGTGGGTTTATCCCTGGCCGGCCAGGAACTGAACTCGTGCTGCGGAGGCCTCAGATTGCCTCATAGTGCGGTGCTTAACCCCTTGCACCACCAGGGAGGCCCTGACCTTTTTTTGGACACCATTTAACAAAATGCAAGAGGACAAACTCACCTTTATTTTTTGGCTTGTCAGTAAGTTTAAGTCCTTGAGAGGTACAGCGTCATGCAGATTCTGTGTCCTGTGCCCTTGGCAGGAAGGCTGCTTTGGAATTTGGCCTGAACTAGGTGGCTTCCCCAGGCACGAGTTGCCTTTCCCCAGATGACTCTAGTTTCATTCAGTTTGCCGCCAGGAGTTACTGTGGTGTTGTTTGCTTTGTACATGGAAACACTTCTCTTGCCTAGATTGCATTCTGTTTCATCTCAAGTATAAACACCTTCTCTTCTAAGAAGAGCTGTGTGTTCCCTCTGGTTCTGGAGACCTCACTTGTAGCCAGAAAAAATGGCCTCGAACCAGAGCCTTCCAGCCATATTTTAGAAATCCTGCTCGCAGCAGGCCTTAGTTATTCGCCCCCATGTTCGGCCTCAGTGATAATGAAAAATATGAAACGTTAATAGGCCCTGATAGCCTCGAAAAAGTCTCTACTTTCACCCTTTATGTATTTGGACTGCTGCAATTTGGGTGACCTCAGCCACTCCATATCACAATTCAGCTAAATCAGTGGCCAGGTCCTGAGGGGAGCCCCAGCCATGCTCCCTCATAGCTGTGTGACCTTGGGCACATCACTGTCCACCTGGTCCTCTGTTTTCTATCAGATAGCACATTGGATTGGAATATGACGTGATTTTCTTCCAGCTCTAACAGTTTACCTGGAATCTTTGTTGACGTTGACATTATAGGCGCTCTTCAAAACCCCTGTTTTGAATTTTCATTTAATTCCTCTTCCTCCAAGAGAATCAATCCTCTGTAAGGATTTCAGTTTAGTTCTGACCATCCTGCGACTCAGTCTACTGGCTGTACAGATCCAGATGGGACCTTTTCCAAAGAAATACCTTTCTACATGCCGATGTGCCTACCCTTTGGCATGTTCAGAACACTTGGGTTTTATAATAACCTATCTTAGACAAGAGAAAAAGGTTTTACACAACCTTTTGGTGAAGAGTAGCTGCATAGATGTGGGCCACACTCTCAGAGTATGCTGTACTCTGTTTATTTCCCACGACCTATGACTTCTATAAACATACCCTGTGCTTTCAGACAAGTGAAGTACTTGTTAGACTGTGATTATATGATCCCACTCAAGTGTTACAACCAAGCTGGCTTCTCTCTGACTCTACCGATTTGACAGACTGACTCACCCTGTGACGAGCTCACACTGTCAGCAAATTCCTACCCGTTTCAAAGATATCCCAAGAGAATTTAAATTTGAAAGAAATTTGCTACCACCAAAATCATCAGAGACGTATGTCAGTAGTTTTTAACTTCTACCATTTGAGAGTGGGGATTACTGCCATGTATGAATTAACACGTGACAGATGATAGATTGTAAAGAGGATAGCATTGATTGATTTATAAATTCTGGGGTCTGGATAGTGACAGGACACTGGAGCAGAGGGCCTAGAGCAGCAGGTGGTCTCAAACCCCTTTTGGTAGAAAGCAGCACTTAAGCTAGATACTGTTCTTTTGTTTGAGTAAAATGGCCACAGAACCCGGATTTCTACGTAGGATACCAACATTTCACTTTGGGAAATGAGAAATGTGAAGGGGAAATGGTCTGTACTCAGTTGACATGATAGGATTTCAAGAGAGGCAGCAGACTGTGGGGGAGAGTTCCCCTCGACCCTACTTAATCACTGTTGTCTCATGAAAAAATGAGGGAGAATCTCCATCTGGCTGATTGTCTGAATTGTTGGGGAGCTTTTAAAATGGTAGGTCCTTTGGTCTCCCAGAGATTTAGAAAGTTTGGGTGTGCCTCAAGATCACTCCCCTAAGTGATTCTGATAAGCCAGATTTAGGAACCAAGGGAAGATAATCTCTAAGTTTTCCCCCAGGGCTCTGTTTTTAAGTGGCAAATGAAAATTTCTGGTGGTGGTTTTGCTGGTGTATAATTCTTTCATCTCCTGAAACCAAGTCTGGCACTTACAGAGGTGATTGAAGAAAGGCTGATAGTTAACTGCTGAGATGAACCGCATTGGCATGCTGATGTGTTGAGGTGATTGAATGATTTTGTTTACCAAGAAGTGTTTTCTGGACTTCCAGGATATAGACATGGGTCCAGGACCAGTGGAACCTTCCCCTCACATGAAATATTGATTCCTGTTAGCGCCTGCTGGTTGGGTTACCAGCAGGAAGCCTTTGCTTCCTTCCCCATCTTGTAAACTTCTCTTGTGCCTGAGAAGCATTTGGTTATTCCTCTTAATCAGAAAGCCTAAGAGCGTGGTGGTAATTGGGCCTCCCCGGTGGCACAAGGGGTTGAGACGCAGCCTGTGAAGCTGTCTGCGGCCCCTGCAGCATGAGTTCGATCCCTGGGTGGGGAGCTACCCACATGGCACGGCAGACCTCTTGCCCGCTGCTCCCCTTGGCAGTATGTTTCGGTCAGTCTGCCTGTTCTGTCCTCTGCTCTGTCTCTGGTGGGTCCTCTCACCTCCTGCACCTCTGGCCTATGCCCCCGTTCTTGTATGCATAAATAAATAAATCTTTAAAAAAAAAGAACATGGTGGGAATACCTTATGTCAGTCAGCTCACTGAGGTGGGCAGGGCAGATGTCAGAGCCATTTCACAAATGGAAAGCCTACTTGGTGACAGAGTAGGTTCCAGAACTTAGCTTTGGGGACACCAAATCCCATTTTCTCTCAATGAAACGACATTGCTAGTAAGAGCTATTCTTAGTACAGAAGTTAAACTGATAGCAAGAGCTAGAAGCAAGCTCCCTGTCCACCCAGATTTGCTGTATACTTGAGGCACCTCCTTCTCTGAGGACTCTGTTTAAAATGTGAAGTGAATTTGGGGCCTCCCCGGTGGAGCGCTGGGCTGCGAACCTGCCCGCATCCTCTGCAGCACCGGTTCGATCCCCGGCCGCCGGGTGAGGGTCCCACATGGCGCGCAGACCTCTCCTGCCTCCCGCTGCTCCCCCCTGCAGTGTACTTTATCAGTCTCCCTGTTCTGTTCTCCACTCTGGCTCTGGTGAATTCTCTCACCCTCCCGCGCTTCTGACTGTACCCAGTGCCTGTATAAATAAACAAACAAACAAACAAACAAATAAATTAAATAAATAAATCTTTAAAAAAAAAAGTGAAGTGAATTTGAGTATACTGACTTGAAAAGTTGTCTGTGATAATGCAGATAAGCATTCATATCTGCCTGGCCTGCCTGCTAGTGATCTTAAAAAATTTATATCCATACCTTTCCTTTATTTAAATAGGTGTTTTTTTGTTTTGTTTTGGGTTTTTTTTTTTTTTTGGTAACAACATAGAAGAATTCATACTGGAAAATCTTGCTACCCCATTCACTGCAGACTGTACTCTGGGATGGGGAGAGGGGACAGCTCTTAGGAGGAGGGAGCATCAGACTTTTTTTAAGATTTATTTTTATTTATACATAAAAAAACTGTGAGGTATAGGCCAGAGGTGCAGGGAGGGGTTGGGGTAGGGGGTGAGAGGATTCACCAGAGACAGAGTGGAGAGCAGAACAGTTAGATTTACAGAAATACACTGCTGAGGGGAGCAGTGGGCAAGACAGGAGAGGTCTGCTGTGCCATGTGGATCAGCTGCCTGGCTGGGGATTGAACTCATGCTGCAGTGGCTGCGGTTGCTGATAGCTTCATAGTGCTGAGACTTATCCCCTTGTGCCACCAAGAAGGCCCTCCTCTCCTTTTTTTTTTTTAAATAAAGATCTTATATATTTATTTATGCATACATGAGATGGGGTATAGGCTAGTGGTATGGGGGGGTGAGAGGAATCACCAGAGACAGAGTGGGGAGCAAAACAGGCAGATCTACTGAAACACACTGCTGAGGGGAGCAGCGGGTACCAAAGGAGAGGTCTGCTGCACCATGTGGGTTAGTTCCCTAGCTGGGGATCAAACTCATGCATGCTGCAGTAGCATCAGCTAGCTTCATAGTACTGCGTCTTAACCCCTTGCACCACCAGGAGGCCCCAAGTATAATGAAATATTAAGATGAAAACAATGATGATCCATAATCCCACATGAACATAGCCGTTCTAGGCTTTTGGCTGTGGTTTGGACTCT